ACCAAGACGACCGCATCCCTTTCGCAGATGCACCAGAACTACCACCAGGACTCAGAGACCGCCATCAACCGCCAGATCAACCTGGAGCTCTATGCCTCCTATGTCTACCTGTCCATGTCTTACTACTTTGACCGAGATGATGTGGCCTTGAAGAACTTTGCCAAATATTTCCTTCACCAATCTATGAGGAGAGAGAGCATGCAGAGAAACTGATGAAGCTGCAGCACCAGAAAGGTGGCCGCATCTTCCTGTAGGATGTCAAGAAACCAGACCGTGATGATGGGAAAGCGGCTGAATGCGATGGAGTGTGCACTGCACTTGGAAAAAAGTGTGAATCAGTCACTACTGGAACTGTACAAAGAGGCCACTGACAAAAATGACCCCCACTTGTGTGACTTCATTGAGACTCATTACCTGAATGAGCAGGTGAAATCCATCAAAGAATTGGTGACCATGTCACCAACTTGCGCTGGACGGGAGCCCCTGAATCTGGCATGGCAGAATATCTCTTTGACAAGCACACTCTGGGAGAAAGTGATAAGAGCTAAGCCTTGGGCTGATTCCCCAAAGCCTCATGTGACTTCTGGTCACCAAGGCAGTGCATGCATGTTTGGGCTTATCATTACCTTTTCTGTAAGTTGTACCAAAACATCCTAAGTTCTTTTAATTTGTACTATTCCTTCAAATAAAGAAATTTGGTACCTAAAATAAATGACTTACTCATGCTTGTTGAAGCACTACAGTAGCTAAGATATGGTATCCATCAATGGCTATATGGATAAAGAAAGTATGATATACTGGGTATGGTTTTATATGCCTGTAATCCCAATTGCTTAAAAAGTATAGACAGAAGGCTTACAGTCTGAGGCTAGTCCTGGGAAAAACTCAAGACACTATCTGAGAAATAAACTAAAGCAAAAAGGGCTATGGGTGTTGCTCATAGTAGCAAAGCACTTACCTAGCAAGCTCAAGGTCCTGAGTTCAAACCCCAAAAAAGAAAGAAGGGAAAGAAACTGAAGAAGAAGAAAGGAGGGAGACAGAGAAGGAAGGAAGGAGGGAAAGAAATATGGTATGTATATATATGTGTATGTGTGTGTACATGTGTACATACGTATATGTGTGTATATATATATACTTGTACATGAGTACGTATATACATATATACATGTATACACATACATATACACACATATAAATATGTGTATATACATATACAATGAAATATTATTCAGCCATAAAATAGGATGGAATATTGTCATTTGCAGCAACATGGATAGAACTGACTGGGGGACATTTATGTTAAGTGAAGTAAGTCAGGTACAGAAAGACAAATACCATAGAGGTTACTAATGCCTAAGAAGAAGAAAGAATGGAGAAACAATGTTTAATGAGAAGTACAGTTGCAAAATAGGAATAACCATAGTACAACAGGATAACCATGCCTGACAATTCAGTATTTCAAAATAGCTTTGAGAAAAGATTTTTCAGTGTCCCTTATTATCCTTATGATTACACATTGTATTCAAGTATTGAACTTACAAATATGTAGTTACTATGATTCCATTAAAAATTTAAAAATCAAATTTTAAAAATTAAAAGAAACATACTAACTAACCAAATGAACTATTGAGCCACATGCTTTAAACCCTAGGGAAGCCAAACACTGGCAGCAAAGTGGTTTTTGTACTTTCTCTTGGTATCATCTTTGAACTAGATATTAAGACACAAACCCAAATTATGCCACTATTGTATTTTACAGAACTCCTTAGTTTTTAGTAATAATACAAAATCTGAGGTGCTCCCCTGTTTAATCACCTTACTACTCACCAGATATGGGCTGTGAGTTTAGACATTTTGCCCAAGTCATGTGATTATGCTTAGAAGTCAAGAGAAATATTGAGAAAGATTCTATGATAAGAACATCCACGGCTCGTCAGTCAGTTCCAAAGGAGAGTTCCAGAGGAGACTCTGGGAAGCAGCATCACAAGGACTGGGTTATAATGATCACAGTAACAACCACTTATTAGGCTCTGCTCATAGGCCAGACCCGGAGTTAAAGTGTTCATCATAAGATTCATCTGAGTCTCACTTGTTCCCTTTTTATAAGGATGAATATGGGGCCTATTTGAAATTATATTAATCAGAAAAGCGGAGCAGAGATTTAAGGTCGAGACTGTGGGTTCCAAAGCCCATCTATGAATTTAGACTCATGTTTGTATTTCTTGGTCAAAGTGTTCTAAAGGTTGGACACTGGATGTTGAGGGAATGAAGCTGGGACACTAAGATCACACAGATGCATCTATTAACACATCAAAGATCTCCATAGGCCAGATAAGAAACCACAGAATCAGAGAGAGGATAAGTATTAACTAGCCTCTCTGTCCAGGCAGGGTCCTAACCAGGAGAAAGACCAAAAGGTGAAGAGGCACAGAACTGCTCTTGGTCAGGGGCTGGGAAGGTGGCTCAGTGGTAGAGTGCTTGCCTTGCATGCATGAGGCCCTGGGTTCGATTCCTCAGTACCACATAAGCAGAAAAAGCTAGAAGTGGTGCTATAGCTCAAGTGGTAGAGCGCTAGCCTTGAGCTGAAGAGCTGAGGGACAGTGCCCAGGCCTAGAGTTCAGGCACCATGACTGCCAAAAAAAAAAAAAAGAACTGCTCTTGGTCAGATCTGAAGTAAATCCCATGCTCTGGTGCCCAACCAGCTGGCTTTCATGCTAGATCATCAGCACTCTCTCCTTAGCACCATCACTCCAAATACCAATTTCCTCTCAACTGACTGGCAAGAAATCCCACTAAGGTGTTAGATGACAACTTACCAATTCACACTTCCTTACATTTGTATCTGACTATGACATTCTTAAAAGCTAAAGGCTTCAAAGAGCCAAGACAATGGGTGAATTCCAATTACAGGTTGACAGAGAATGTGACATAGAGATACCAACAGAGCAAGATTTGATATTCCTCAAATTAAACCACTGAAGGAGCCATATCCATTCTAAAAATAACTTGACATTTATTGACCATATTGTGCCAATCTTAATAGTAAGTGCTTTATATAATCACATTTAATCTACACTAAAACTGATCTTCCAAAGCAGGTAAACAAAAGGGAACATACAGAGGGATTGTAACTCTTTCCCTGGAGCTCTATGAGCTCCCTCTTCTTCCATCATCTTTTTGAAGGTTAGTGTCACAGCCGCCTAGCATCTGTATTCCTAAGATATGACATATAAAAAAATATCACAGCATGAGCTGGAGGAAAAGGCTATGTCTGGATCATACTGGTAGGCACAGCAATGTGTTCTGGGTGGCCATTAACAAGCACCAACATCCTTTGGTAACACAATTCCAGGTCATCAGAAGTACTTTCCTGGACTCTCGGATCTGAAGAAAGTTTCATAAGCACCCCAATTCGACCTCATTTTCTTTACTGTGAAGATGGTTCACTGCATAATTACGATTTTAAATGCCATCAAGGCAGCAATTTTTATGGTATGAGAGAAAAGACTTCAACTCCTACTTGTACTTAATACACGATGAAAGATTATGACAAATGGATACAGCTTAGGAAGAGACATAGGATAAAAGTGGCTTCTGTTGACAAAAGTCAGTATTAACATTTTTCTGAGACTAGACTCAATAGAGCTAATATAAATGGGCCAGAATAATTATGGTTCTGAAAGCTCATCTATTTAGTTGGACTATTATCCAAAAGGGACTAACACACATCAGCATGCTTTTGTTAATTATGTACCTGCTAAAGTTCTCAATAGGGAACATGGTGGTCCTCATGAACTGCAAACAGGAAGGGAACACAGCACTAATCCCTCAAGACCCTTCGGTGCTTTTCTGAGTCATTTTATCACTAAGTCATGCCAGACAGAACCCTAACCTCCGGTCCAGGTAGCCAGTCCTACCCTTTGGGGCTTGGGAACCTAGTTCTCATTGTCCTTGAAGAAGCGGCCAAAATAAGGCACCAACAGGATCTTAGTCAAAGATGTTTAAAAGCTCAAAAGGATTCGTGACTCCCTAACTGTATGTTCTCTTCAGCTCTAAAAAGTGGAAAGAAAGGCAGAGAAAAAAACAAATGACTTCAGAAAGAAGGTGAAAGCTTGCCACAAGCCAGAGGTGAACCTTGGCTGAGCTGGATTGTTATTAAATTCATCACAATTGTCATTTGCACTTCAAGGGCTTCTAGTTCCATGGCCTCTAGCACTTTACCCAACATTTAGTAACAGCCCTGGGGATTGGGAAAGGTGGCCAGGAGAGAATGAAACTGTCAGGAAACTCACAAGTGAGGATTCTCAAGGGAGGGAAAAGTAAGAGCACTGAGAGCTGGTCAAGGGCAAGTTATTGCTGGGACAGGTCAGGGAAACAAGGCCAGGAGCTTTATAGTGCTGTGGTCAGGCCAAGCGGCCTGCCAACAGACAAAAACCCTGAACAATGAGGTCTAGATTAATGAAGAAATGCTTGGAAACAAGAAGGAGAAAAGGAGAGGAAAGGAGCATATAGACAACCTGAAAAAGTTCAAGGAAGAGGGAAGTGGAGGAAAAAATAGAGTCTTAACTTACTGAGGACCTGTGCTAGTCACACAGGTATCCAGCTCATATAGATAATGTTGACCTTCCCAGCTCTGCTTCAAACTTGTAGTGGGATTTGGGGCCAGGATGCTGAAAATATTTGACCCTAAGTTTCCTTATTTTCAGAATGAGGGTGATGATTAAGTTTCATAGGATTGTTGTAAGGATTAAATGAGAATATATAAAGGACTTAATACAATGACTGATAAATGAAGGATTATTTATCATATCACCCTCATCATCTTTTCCTCAAAGGGAAACTGTGCCCTGAGTTTTAAATAGAGAGCAAAAGATACAAGAAAGAGGAGAAAGAAGCCACATTCCCCTAAAAGAAAAGCCCACCCATCCCACAAGAGCCTAGTGACAGAAAGGCTTTCTCAAACCTCTTTAGAGCCCTACTAGATGCTGTAAGATACTTACTGGGTTCTGATGACTGAGGCAGAAGATGAAGCAGGAGGCAAATAGCAACCCACACAGCATTCCAAGGGGAGCCATCCTATATGGAGGCAGGCCCTGGGGAGCCATCATCAGACCCTGAAGGAAGAAACACAGAAGGTCAGTAGAAAGCTGGTGTTTTATTCTCCTTGCGTTGTGATCACCATAATGGTATTTGTTCCAAAAATGTCAGAGACACTTTTGCATGGCTGTTTAACAATTCTTCTATCACTTATAGATAAATCTAAACCATCCATCTTCTGGAGTAAGTCCAGCTACACAAGAGTAGACATACCCTGAGTGGAAGTGTAAAGTTAACCAAGACCCTTGAGTTTTAATGGAATATCCCTGGTCCCTTACTACTTTCTCATTAATAACTTATCAGACTGTAGAAAGTGATACTGGGTACAGTAAGGAGAAAGGAAAAATAGCCACTTAATTTGCATGTATACAGGCATGTATATGTTCATGAATTGGAGACTTAACATTCTAAAATGACAATACTACCCAAAGCAGCATATAGGTTCAATGCAATTTATCCAACCAAATCCCAAAAACATTTTTTACAGAAATGGAGACAGTTACCTTAAAATTCAAATATAATTTCTTTCTGTTTATTAGGAGGGATGCTATTTGAACTCAAAACCTGGCACTTGTTAAGACTTGAGCCCCCACCACCCAGCTTTTTGTTTTTGGATTTTCAGACAGGGCATCTTGCTTTTGCTACATAAAATCTTCCTACATCAACCTCTCTAGTAGCTAGTCTTACAGACATATACCATCATTCCCAGCTTTCTTTTCTGTTGGTGGTGTTATTGAGGACTGCACTCAAAGCTCCATACTTGCAAAGCAGGCACTACACACCAGAGTCTTTCCCATTTTTTGCTTTTATTTATTTTTCAGATAGGGTCTCACTTTTTTCATGCAGGGCCACAATTCTCCTATGTATAATTTCTGTGTTGCTTGGGTTACAGACGTATGCTACCATGCATAGTCTTGGCATTGGTTCAGGGTTTTTTTTTGGTTGTTTTTTTGTCTGACATAGGGCCTGAACTCTGGGTCTGGGCACTGTTACTCAGCTCTTCAGCTCAAGGCTAGAGCTCTATCACTTGAGCCATAGCACCACTTCAGTCTTTTTCTGCTTATGTGATGCTAAGGAATCAAACCTAGTGCCTCATGCATGCAAGGCAAGCACTCTACCACTGAGCCACCTTCCCAGCACTGGTTTTTGTGTTTTTGTTTTTTTTTGGGGGGGGAGTCCAGTCATGGGGCCTGAACTCTGGGCCTGGACGCTGTCCCTCAGCTCAAGGCTAGTGCTCTACCACTTGAGCCACAGCACCACTTCTGGCTTTTCTTTTTGCTTATGTGGTGCTGAGGAATCAAACCCAGGACCTCATGCATGCAAGGCAAGTGCTCTACCACTGAGCCACCTTCCCAGCCCCCAGCATTGGTTTTTGAGATAGACATTTGCTAACATTTTTGCCTGGACTAGCCTTAAACTGTGATCTTCTTACCTCCATCTCCTAAGTAACAAAGAAAGCTACCGCTGGCTTCCATATAATATTTTAAGGTACTCAGAACAGCCAAGAAAATCATGAAAAAGAACTCTTGTCCAGAGCCAGTGGCTCACACCTGTAATCCTAGCTACTCAGGAGGCTAAGATTAGAGGATTAGGGCTCAAAGCTGGCCTGGGCAGGAAAGTTCATGAGACTGTTTATCTCCAATTAGCTACCATAAAAGCCTAAAGTGGAGCTGTGTCTCAAGTGGCAGAGAGCAAGCTGTGAGCACAAAAGCTGAGCAACAACACATCCAGGCTCTAGGTTCATGCCCCAGGACCAGCATTAAAAAAAAGTAAGAATTTCTCTTATTCACACTCCTGATCTCAAAACTTACAACAATGCTACAGTTATCAAGAGTGTGGTACAGTTACCTATAATCCTAACACTTGGGAGGCTAAGGTAAAAGAATTATAAATTCAACACCAGCCTGAATTACATAATAAAACTTGTGTCCAAAAGAAAAATATGGCCAGGCGCCCATGGCTCACGCCTATAATTCAAGCTACTCAGGAGGCTGAGATCTGAGGATCATGATTCAAAGCCAGCCTGGGCAAGAAAGTCCGTGAGACTCTAATCTCCAATAAACCACTAGAAAACTGGAAGTGGCACTATGGCTCAGAGCCCAGGCTCAGAGTTCAAGCCCCAACTGACAAGAAAGGAAGAAAGGAAGGAAGGAAGGAAGGAAGGAAGGAAGGAAGGAAGAAAGAAAGAAAGAAAGAAAGAAAGAAAGAAAGAAAGAAAGAAAGAAAGAAAGAAAGAAAGAAAGAAAGAAAGAAAGAAAGAAAGAAAGGAAAAATATGTGGTATTGGCATAAGGAAAGCCATAAAGACCAATAGATAGAATTGCAAATATAAAAATAATCAGACATGGGGCTGGAAAGATGGCTCAGAGGTAGAGCGCTTGCCTTGCATGCATGAGGGCCTGGGTTCGATTCCTCAGCACCACATAAGCAAAAAGAAAAAAAGCCGGAAGTGGCACTGTGGCTCAAGTGGTAGAGCGCTACCCTTGAGCTGAAGAGCTGAGGGACAGCGCCCAGGCCCAGAGTTCAGGCCCCAGGACCGGACCAAAAAACAAACAAACAAAAAAAAAAAAAATCAGACATAGGGTTTGTTAATTCTAGACCAAAGTGCCAAACCAAACAATGGGGAAAGAACAATGGTAACTCAAAGAGAGTGAGACAATCCACTATCTATATGCAAAAGAAAGAAGCCTGAGCTAAGCACAGTGGCTTAAGCCTATAATCCTTCTTGGGAGACAAGAGATCTGGGGATCACAGTTTGAGCCCAGCCCAAGCCAAAACACAAGTTTATCTGAGTCCATCTCAACTACATCTTGGTGTAGTGGCATATAACTGTCATCCCAGCAAACTAGAGAAACACAAACAATAGGTTCATATTCCAGGTTGGGCAGTGCATAAATCAAACTATCTCAAAATTAACCTGCAGCACAAAGCCAAGCACTGGTGGCTCATTTCTGTAATCCTACTTACTCAGGAGGCTTCAACCTAAGGATTGTGATTTGAAGCCAGCCCAGGCAGGAAAATCCGTGAGATTCATCTCCAATTAATCACCAAAAATCCAGAAGTGGAGCTGTGGCTCAAGTGGTAATGCACTGGTCTTGAGTAAAAAGAGCTCAGGGACAGCACCCAGACCCTAAGTTCAACTCCAGTACTAGCACATAAAACAACAAAAATAAATTTAAAAAACAATACAAAAGGGGGCTGGCAAAATATTGCAAATAGTAGATGATTACCTAGCAAGTATAAGGCCCTGAATTCAAACCTCAAAAGGAAACGAAAAGAATGAAGTTGGAGTTTTCCATCATATATAAAAATTAAACCCAAAATAGATTACCAATCTAAATTTAAGAGCCTTATATTATAGAAGTATAGAAGTATAAAACTCTTAAAAGAAAATAAAGATATAATCTTCACAGCTTTGATTTAGCAATGGCATTATGAAGAAGCAAAAACACAGGCAACAAAGAAAATAAACAGAGCTCAAGTAGTAAAGGGCCTGCCTTATAACCAGGAAATCCAGTAGTTTAAAAAAAAAAAAAAAAAGAACAAAATTAAAGAGCTTTTATGTCTCAAAAGACCTTTTTTTTTTTTAAGATGCTTACATGGCTAGCTCAATGGCAGTGCATATGCTAGCATGCATGAAGCCCTGGATTCAATCCCTAGCACAACCAAAAAAATTATATAAAGAATTTCTGGCTGGCATGGTAGCTCTCAGCTATTTGAGAGGCAGAGATAGTGAAAGGCCAGCCTAAGCAAAAAAAAAAAAGGTAAGACTGTATCTTTAAAAAAAAACCTCAGCATGGTGGTATATACCTCCTGGTATATATCCAGTTACATATATGAAGAGGATCACAGTCCAGGACAGCTTGGGCAAAAATCATTGTCAATGTACATGAAAAATAACTAAAGCATAAAGGGCTGAGGACATGGTTCAAGTGGTTAGAGTGCCTGCCTAGTAAGGGCAAGGCCTTGAGTTCAAACCTCTGTACTACTCTCCCCCCCCCAACCCCTACCTCCACCCCACCCCCCACCCCCGCCACCACTAAAGAAATTCTAAATCTCAACCAAAAAAGGACAAACAACCCAATTTAAAAGTGGGCAAAAGCCAAGCGCTGGTGGCTCAGCCTATAATCTTAGCTACTCAGGAGGCTGAGATCTGAGCATCATGGTTCAAAAGCCAGTCCTGGCAAGAAAGTCCATGAGACTCTTATCTCCAATAAACCAGAAGTGGCGCTGTGGCGCAAGCGGTAGAGAGCTCACCTTGAGCTGAAGAGCGCAAGGACAGCGCCCAAGCCCAGAGTTCAAGCCCCACGACCCACCAAAAAAAAAAAAAAGTGGGCAAAGGACTTAAATAGACTTTTCCAAAACAGATCTACAAATGGCAAATATAGACACAAAAAGTCTGAATATCATAAATCATTAGGAAGATGTATGTTTAAAAAAAACACTATTCAGCCACTACAATGGTCATAATTGTTAGCAAAATGAGCTCCCTTCCCATAGCTTAGTACACTCCTTCCCCTCTCTACGGCTTAGCTTGCTCCCTTCCTAGGCCAATTAGCAAAGGCAGTAAATAATCAGCCACCAACACCCTTTACCTTGGGATAGCACTTCTCTGGGGCAGCTACCACCAAAAAGGTGCCCCCTTAGAGTGACCTTCAGGTCTGGGAGGTTGCAGGACCCCTTATCTACTATTTGGACAGCAGCCATAAATCCTAGTCCACCATCATGATGAAGCCCCTGGCCCACTCATCCACACCAGGGTCTCCGCCTCCTAGCCTCTACTAGGCCCTCCTAAACATCCTATATAGGTTATATAGGTCACCTCAGACAATAGCTGGTGCTTCTTCTCACTTCTCCCTTGTGAGAAGGGGTCCTGCCAGCCCCTTTCCAGGCAATAAACCTTCTTTTGTCCTCTGTACTTGGATGTCTACATGGTTCTCTGGCAAAGTCTAATAATCTATCAATAATAATTAAAGTAAAATTACAGGTATTGGTGTGGCTATGTGTAAATGGAATAA